TAAAAACAAAACAAAAAAACTAATTGATATCAATGTAGAAGATAGGGGAAGGAAGAAAGAGGCTGAGAAATGGGAGATCTATCAGAGCAGTCAAAATGAGAAATATTTTTAAAATGTGACCTACGGCAATCAGAATAAGTATGTAAAACAGTGACAGAGAGATACTGGGAATGGTATCAAAGGATAAAAGGAGATATAGAGAATTCCAAATGCTGTAACTCAGGTATTTAACTAAATTGGTGATAGTATCAAAGGATGAACAGGTTCGCAGGATTTAAGATTATGCATTCAGTTTTGGCAATGGTGTGCGGAGGTATCCAAGAAACATTCAGATAGAACTATGAGGTTCCAGACAGGCTCTTGTGCTCAGAAGAGAGGTTAAGTCTAAACATTTTATCAATGTACAAGTGGTACATCATTATAGATATGATCATACAGCTGAATGTATATAAGAGAAAATAAAGGTAACAACGTCAAAATGGAGGGACTACATTTTAAAAGGGAGAAAGAAAAGAAATACCTGTGGAAATGAGAAGGACCAACTATAAAGACAGCAAGAGAAGAGGGTAATACATCAGAAACCAGCCAGTCTGGCCGTAATTTGCTAATCCCTTGCCTCAGAATGATCCAAGATCAGAACCGAAAAATATTTATTTCATTCAACAAATTACAAGGTCATTGGAAACTTTACAATGCTATGTCAGTGCCATGGTAGGCAGTAACTAAAATTATCACCAAGAAGGGATCATCACTGAATGGAGGGATGGATAGATGGATACACATAGGATAAAGCTTGTGTAGTAAAGTGTTAATCACAGAATCTAGATGGTTGTTATATGAGTGTTCACTGAGTAATTCTTTTGACTGTGTGTGTCTGGAAATTTTCATGTTAGGAAAATAGCATTTACTCTCTACTCCATTAAAGTAGCATGTTAAAAATCAATAAATTTAGTTTTCAGTATTATATCTGATCAAATAACCTTACCACAAGAAAGAAAACCATTTCCAACTTTAGTTTCAACAGAGCATGCTCATGAGTATGCTCACAAATCACTAAAGTGGTTAGAGACTCATACAAAGTGTAAGAAAGTCTTTCAAAAGCAGTCATCTTACCTGATTTGCTACTACTGCATCTTGTGGATCATCCGGTTCTGCAGCTGCCAATAGTGCTTGCAATGACAATAATACCGTGCGGAGAGTCATTGCTGCTGCCCTAAAATTCAAAATATGAAAATGTCCCAGTTAAGAAGGCTCTGCATGGGAAAAGCAAAGCGGGTATTTTCTGAATAAAACATAAAAAACTAGTGGAGCTAAAAGTTATTTAGGATTTTATCTTAATTATGGAGTTAGTTTATAGAAATTTATATTTATATATCTGCCTATAAATTTTTCCTTTAATTTACAATTAGCCAATTTCTTAAGACAAATCATCTCATCTTGAATTTTCCTTCCTTTTTTCTTACTATTGCTAATATCATTCTTGTTAGCTTTACCCACTAACTTATTTTCTATCCATTTCTCTAAAGTGGTAAACTATTAGCATTAATAACCTGTGGAACTTTCTTTCAATGGCACTCTTGAAAACAAGATATTATCAAGCAAATATCCTTTATTTTCAAAATATTCCTTAACATTCTGTAATAGGGCATATTTTTTGCTTAAAATACATTAGTTAATGCTTCTAAATGTATTTGCAAGGAAAATATTTTTATAAAGCAAATATTTTTTTTTTTTGAGACAAGAGTCTCACTCTTTTGCCCGGGCTACAGTCATCAGCCTAGCTCACAGCAACCTCAAACTCCTGGGCTCAAGCAATCCTTCTGCCTCAGCCTCCCAAGTAGCTGGGACTACAGACATGCGCCACCATGCCCGGCTAATTTTCTTTTTCTATATATTTTTAGTTGTCC